GGGGCTGTGGCGGATTTCACCTTTTCCTCTCCCCGCCTATGCGTGGCCTTCTGAAGGAGGACAAGTCCGGGTTTCTCCTGCCGACCCCGGGGTTGCTGCCTCTAAAAAAATCCGCCGTCGCCTGGGCTGCCACCGGCTCGCTCGTGAACCTGCACGGCTTCAGCCTTGAGGGGGACTGAAACGGTGTTAGGTCGTTGCTGTGGCTGTAGTTTGTGATGTGGCACCCGTCCGTCAACCGTACTGGAGCCTCCTGCATTTAATTTTGTGAATTGACAGTTTAGGTAGGGTTGGATTTAGACTTTGATGTAAACGTTTTGTCATTGTGTGAGGGGAGGGTTTGCTTTTCAGGTAGGGTCTGTCGCCCATGAGTATAATCCTGGCTTCAGTAAGTATCCCAGCAAGCATGGAAGAGCTGCTGCGACAAGTCTTGAATGAGGAATGCATACAGTGAGGTCCTTATTCAGGTGTGCAGGTACCTCCATGAGTTCAGCATGTCCGCTGTCACGTTTTGTCGTGTTTGTCAGGGCCTGGCTGGCCAGCCTGTGACTGGTGAGCCCCGTGGGGCTCTCCAGCTGTTTGGGAGCAGCTGTCGTTCCAGGCCTGTAGTCTGTGGCCAGGCTCTGGTGTCCACATTCCCATGGGTGGGTTGAGGGGAGCTGGGGGAACCCGCTGCAGTCAGCGTTGCCCAGTCCCATCCCAGTGGAATTTCCCAGGGAGCTGCTCAGGTGTTTGGCTTGTGCATAGGGCCTCTTCCCACTCTGTGCTCTCTCTTGTAGTCACAGTGTGACGTGTTTCTCCTGCTGCAAATGGAAATGCTACAGGTTAAAATTTGAGCCAAAAGAATAGCCAGCTGTTGTCACCCATCCCCACCTGGCCACATGCTTCTGCTGTGCACCTTTTGCAGGCTTTGGTGCTTGTCTGACAATATGAGAAGCCAGTTCGGTACATTAGAACAGCAAAAGTCTATCAAAAAAACCCCTCAACCCAGACTTCTTTTTTGCCATTTTAGCAAAATGATGTGCTCTCGGGTCGATGCAGGGGAAGGGATCAGAAACCATTCAGGAGCAGGAACAGAGGCTGTGAAATTGATGGCTAGCCCAAGCTGTGCTGCTTTCACTCACTGTGGCTTCACACTCTGCTGTGTGAAAGCTTTGACTTGTGGCTTGAAGACTCAGGAAGCCTCTGCATCAGGAAAAAACAATCTGAGCATTGTTTGGCAGATGCTTTAAAAGAACTGGATGGGGCATTTCTGCCTTTCCTGCCTAAGGTAGTTTGGGTTTTTCTAGGATATTTGCACACGTAGGTGCATTTTTCTGTGTGCATGTTTTGTTACTTTGGGTCATACAAACTAATGATCATTACGGAGTTCTGTGTGTGATTTCAGAAATTTAAATAATTTGTCTTGTCAAGTTGAGATATCTAACTGAAATACGAATACGTTCCTTCAGAAGCAGCTCCTCTGTGCAGTAGTAAGTGCCTCGTGGTGCACAGCACCTTGACATTTAACTACAGAACCATAGGTTTGATAATTTTTTCAGTGTTTTTGAAGCTGGTAGGGGAAATTATCTGTTTCTGAATGCTAATATAAGGCAAAATAATCAGTGTGCAGTCTTGATTGAGAAGATGAACCAGCTGCCCTCATCTTTCATTGCTTGTTTCCTTTTCTTTTTTCTTTTAAGAGGGAGAGGACAGAAGGGGAAAAAAATGCTAGTGCTTGTGTTTCATTCTGACAGCTTTCTTGAATTTTGTAAAATTAGTTTTTGTCGGATGTCTGAGTACACGGATTACTGATGGTGTGAGATACCTTGCCACATGCTAGACCAGCAGTGAGAGTGTAAGAAAGAATCTGCGTGACTGGAAAGTGAAATCTTTTCTTGAATGAAGAAAAGATTACTTAGTGGCCTTTTAAAATATGCAAGAGGTTAATAGATTAGGAATCGTTTGTAACTGTAAGGAAGCTCAAAACAGGTTTGCAATGCTGAATGACCCATCTGTAGCCTAAGGCAGGGTGTTTACTTAAGAGCACTACTCAAAAGTTGAGGGTAAGACAACGGTAACATACCTAATTAAGGTTTGGAGAGCTTAACTAGTTATTTTGGATTTTGGATTTAGGGTTTAATGTAACTTCATGAAGATGTGTGTCACCTCTTTCCTGTGCTTGGAGGATGTTAAGACCCTGGTATGACATCTCTTCTGAAAGATATCGCTGTCAGCATCACTGTGCTCTCTAATGCTGCGAGACAAAATCAGATGTAGAAATCAAAAAGTAAAACCCAACATTATCCCCATATTCCCAAAGAAGGCTGGGGCCAGAATTTAGCTTAAGTGCTTGATCTTCTGATCTTATGTATGTAAAAATAAACAAACGGTGTCTTGGGAGACTATTGTCTTGAGAACAAAAGATGGAGCTCTTACTATGTGGGGTATCATGTCCTGTCATGGTTGCCTTTGAGCTTAGGACCTCTTGACCCAGTATGTTTAATGGTGTAAGGGGATCACTACACGGACAAACACAAGTCGAGTGTAGAAGGAAAACCTTTCTCCCTCTTAGGACAGGCAGGCGGTGAGGCCATTGCCCAGCAAGGCTGTGCAGGTTCCGTCCTTGGAGGTTCTGGGACCTGCCTGCCTGGAGAAAGCCCCGAGCAGCCTGGTCTGATGCCAGAGCTGGCCCCGCTCGGGGCAGGGACTTGGACTGGAGACCTCCTGAGGGCCTTTCCCGCCTGAGTGACTGCAGTGCTGTGGTTAAAAGTGCGAGGCTTTTCTGGTTTTAAAGGCATTTGATAACTCTATTTTCCTGTCTTCCTCGCTTCAGCCTACTTGCGGTAATCTTAGTCTCTTTCATTTGGCTATCCCAATTCCTTGCCATTGGTCTCCTTGTCTTCCAGTGGTTTTTTTATGGTTCTCCAGCCAGCTGTTTTGCCCTGTTGGCCAGCTAATGTCTCCCTCCAGCTGCTGCCCCATTTAGCTTCTCATCTGCCTTTCTTTACTTCAGCCCTGCCCCATTTCCCCAGCCCTTGGTTCTCTGCCTTTTGCTTGGCTGCCTGCCCTCCCCCCCGCTTTGTTTTTCTGCCCTGGGTGCTCAGTCTTTGTCTGTGCTCCAGCCCCAATAGACGACTTCCTCCTCCGCTCTGCTTGGGTCAGCAGGGAACTGGTTCTTTTCCTGTAGTAGAAACACAACTCTTTGCTCTCTGCTTCCCTGTTGCCTCCTGACAAGCTGCTCGATAGCGCTTGCCGTCTTTGTTCACCCCCAGGAGTTTATAGCATGACCACATTTGGGGAGGCATTCCTACTGGCAGAAGGCACACGTCTAACAGAGGTTTCTGTCCTTTTCTACGTTGTGAAATCGGTTTCAAAATGAACAAAACTTCAGGCTTGCAAGTGGAACAGTGCTCTATGTGTTTGTGAATGTTTAAGTAAAAGAAGGCTTTTTTTTTTTTACATAACTTGTTTCTTGGAAAGTTTCAGTGAAGTGACCTCATTGTTTTCGAACAACTTACCAGGAAGCAGGTGGTCAGCAAAAAAATTGTGAGTTAACACAGTAAATTGTGAGATGCAGACAATTGAAATAGATGAGTCTTTGTAATGACAAGTGGCAGTGGACCTTAATTTATAGCTTCATGGGGGAGCCAGGTGGGTGTTTTGTGCTGGACTCAGTGTTTTCAGTGCTATGTTCTGTATGTAATAAATAAAAGCAGTAAGTTGCAATTCGGTGCTGTGTGGATAGCAGGGACTTAAATGTGCTGCTACTAGTACGCCTAGAAAGGGAATGAGGAAGAGGAACGTTTTTTGCCTACAAAGCACCGGAAATGTAATATATGCTGATGGAATTTGGAACCAAAAGTTAGTTACCGTGTACTTGAATGCTTTAATAGTTACTTTTATTCCTCCTCTTGCTTTAGAATCTTCTCCCCATTTACCGGCACCAAAGGATGTGATGGTTTATTCCTATAACTTTCGTAGTTCACTGAGGTGGTCTCCTGTTAAAGTGGATAGAGGCTTGGTGTTGTATACAGTCCATTTTAAAACGTAAGTAAATGGATCTAAACCCAACCAAACTGATTTTATTCTAATCCGGTAATAGTGGTTTTTTTTTAAAAAGAAGCTAAAATTTAATAAGCAAATGAAAGAATAAATTACCTATTACAGATGCTTTTATACGTATCTGAAAGCAGCTTCTCAAGACTGACAATCTTAGCTGTGATATTTCCACTAAACTGAGCAAAGACTGGAGACCTGAAGAGCACTCAGAAATGTTGCATAGTTTCCTGTATAATTTTAGCCTTCCTGAATTCTCCCTCACTAATTTTAATTTTTCCCCAGATACTGAGGAGATGCAGGTGCTGAAAGGTCTGTGGAATTAAATCCGCATGAAAGTGGTAGTTTAACATACTCGGTTGTTACAAAAATTGTCTGGGTGGGAGGGATTGTGTATTAGATAGTTGTGCTGTTCTGCTAAATCAAATAAAGATTTGTCCTTTGTTTTGCATTGCAGAGGGGCCTACGACCACTGGGACGAGATGAACTGCACCCGTGTCACCCAGACTGAGTGCAGTTTGCCCTGGTCACTGAAGGAGCGGCGCTGGACTGTTTTTCTGCGTGTGAGGGCTGAGCTGGGGCAGGTGACTTCTGACTGGGTGGAAACAGATCCATTTATGGCAGAGAGAAACAGTAAGTGCTATGTATGATTTCAGCGTCTCTCTCTCAAAGGAGATTTCTTGGGGAAAAAAAAAAGTTTGTTGTCCATTCTACATTCTTTTGACTCTGTTATGGACAAAAGCCGAGTGAGAGAATTGTAGGTATTCAGTTAACAAAGACTACAAGGCCTCGGTGCGTTCACGAGTAATTTGATACTGCTTAGTTCCTCTGTAGTGGGGTTGGCAGTGCGCTCTTTCACCAGGTATCGAAAGAATAACAGAGGAGTTTCCTTGGTTAAGCCTTGTAAGAACTACACTGTATATAGTGTTAGAGCATTTTCCATTTTCTCATTTCCCCGCTTAGCTCTGCCGCAGCCACACATACACCCCCTTGATTTGTGGTAGTCTGTGTACAAGCTACCTGTTTCTATCGAACAGATCCCTTTTCTAATAAATATAAACTAGCCTGCCTACAGTGTAGAAGGGCCAAGGCACACTTCAAATCCTGTTAAACGCCTGAACAAACGTATTGTTGTTCTTCGCAAGGTCTGCTCTTTGCCTTGCTGTGATTAGTTTCAGGATTAGAAGAAAGTAAATGTTGACTTTTAAAAATACGTCTGAAATGATAACAAAGCAGAGGAATGGATTTATTGATTCTCTAGTTCTCCCCTGCCTTTTGAGGAGCAGTGGTGATCCATGCTGCAAAGAGTATGGTACTTTCCCTGGTGACTTCAGTTCTAAATCTTGGATTTTTCTCTAATAGTAAAGCATGTGGGGATGAGGAACTACCCAAATCCAGAGCTGGAAGATTACAGCTGACGTATCCGTAGCTTGTGATGCAGGATTGTTTGTGAGTGGGATCCTTTGGGCGTTAGGAAAGCACTGGGCTAGTGGGAATACAAGACAAAGGAGAGGCTCAGCGTGGGAGAGATGTTTGTGTCTGTTCCTCTTGAGGGAGCAAGAGGAAGTTTATGTGATTATTCGTATGTGACTGCCCTCGAGATCAGTTCCTAGACACCAAGACTATGGGCTACTCAATCAGACTGTTCTTTTGCTTTAATGTTTGAGTCATCCCCACTTGAGAGGGGAGCTTCAGGAATTTGAGAGGACACGAAACAGGGCGTTTGCAGTTTTACAGCAACAGGAAGTAGAAAGAACCCAAAGTTTCTCTACCAACGTAAAGATCATGGAGGCCAGTTTCCTCTAAAGTAACAGTGGGCAGAGCAGGTTCTGCTGGATTTTTTTGAGGTACAATAAGCAATGATTGCATGCAAGGACTGATCTTTGCTGTTAATAGTTACCCCTCTTTAGTACGCAAGCAGCCGTTAGCTACTCTTAATATTTGCATGAGTCGGTTTTTTGAGGTGCTGGGCTGCTTTACAAATGCTGATGAGCTTGACTGGGGAAAGAAGTTAAGATACAGAGGATAAATGACTAATAACCATATATGACCTGTGATCACACAAGTGTCTTGTATTAAGACTGACAGTACTTAATATAATATTTTTCATGATTTAGACCTCAGAGTACTTCACAAAAGGAAGTCATACTTTTTATCCTATGAGACAGATGGAGATGTCAAAGCAAGGAGCAGGGAAACTAGTTATTCCTCTTCCAATCTATTGAGCCAAACAGTGTGTTTTTAACAGAACATGGAATATGTGGCAGGCTATTTGAAAGAAACCAACCAAACAGACAAAATTGTATCACCTTTAACTGCAGATAAATTCAGATACATTCTAGTGAATATTTACTGAATTTCTGGGGAAAGATAACAGGAAACTTTTTTTGTTGTTTTAAATTACCTAGTTTCACTTACACTTTCAAGTCTTTTTCCTTAGATTTGCGATAAAGTAGGTACCTTAAATGTGTTATGTAGGTGAGAAAATGTTGTATACTTTTTTTTTTAAGAAAAAGCTGTCGCATTTAGCATGTTTGCTGAGAGTATCTAAGTAAAGCTGAAGACCGTATGATGAGCTGTTCTGCATCCCAGAGGCTCACTGTTCTTTCTGTGTTTATTTTCAGCTACTATAGGGCCCCCTAAAGTGAACAGCGTGACTGTTAGCTCTGACTCACTTCTCATTAGTGTCACACCCCCTTTTGGATCTGAAGCAGGTGACTTTCTTCAGTATCATGTGTCCTACTGGGAGAATGCAACCCATAATACTGAAAAAGTAAGAATTCTTTCTAATTTAATTTTTGTAATGTCTTTGTGACTAAGAGATGTGAGTCAACGTCTCTTGGCAAAACAGCAGAAATGGAGGAAGAAAACTAATGTAATTTTTTTTTCTGTAGCAGTGAAGGTCACCATTTGCCGTCTATGGAAAAAAGTTAATTTGGTCTTGGCACAAGTATTGCATCTATTATGAAGCTTCCCAAATGCCTCTTTTCCTCCATATGAAACAAAGTTTAAATCATACTGAAGATCAAGGGAGAGAATCCACAAAGTGTGAAAGGTGGCTTTAAAATGACATTTAGATTCCAGAGTTTGCTTGGGCAACTTGGACAACTCTGGAATATCCTTCCTCCTTTCCTGTGCAGGCAGAATCAGTAATGGGCTGCTTGGGGCTCATGTGGCCTGTTCCTAGGGCGGAGAAAGGCAGAGTTATTACAAACATGCTGGACACAGCTCAGATGGGCTGTCCCTCTTCGTACTGAGGCTTAGAGGTGTTGGTCTTGTTGTGTGCTTATGCTGTTGTCTGGGGCCCTGGTTGTTGTGTTCTTGACAGGCCAGCATTGGAGGGGAGGGATTAAGGTACATTTTAAAAAAAATTAAATGAAAAAAGAGGAAGAAGATTCAAAAGAATGTCATTCTAAAGTCAAATGTTTAAGAAACAGAAGCAGAAAAAAAATAATTTCTTTTAAAAAACCTTCTGTTTCAAAGACCTTGCTAAATCTGAAACGCCTCTGCTTCCTTCCTGTCTTGCACCAATCTGTATTTTTTTTTTTCTGACACACATAAAATACTTTCATGTTTGAGATTAAGATGAGAAGTCACTCTGGCGTGCTTCTGTAGGCTCAGCTGAGGCCCTTATCCTAGCTCCTTACAGGTTAGAACTTCCCAAAAGTCCACGGTGCCTGTGTGGAGACTGGAGGTTTTGCTCTGCCCATCAGCTGTTTTCCTCACCAGTAGAAGGAGCCGAGATGGTGGGAGCTCTTCACTGAGCTACGCTTCCGCCAGCCTCCTCTGGTGGTGGAGGCACTTCTCATGGCTTCTTTTTCCTTCCCCCTTCCTACATGGCACTCGCTGCCCGAGCTGTTACAGAAGCTGTGTCACAGCGTCCAGCAGCGTATTGTGGATGAAATGAGACCTCGCGTTCGCTTTCGGGCCTCTGCTGTTCATGCCCTTATAGATGGTTTTCAATGGTCAGGCCTAATTGCGTTTAAGGACAACGAAGTTCCAAATGCAAGTAGGAAAGTTAAAATATATTTCACTGCTGCTCTTGTTTGGGAAAGCTGAATCATGAAAAATAACATCTGTGCTTTTTTGAATGAGAAACTTAAATATGGGGAGGGGATTTGTGTGGAAGATAGGTCTGGTTTTTACAATAACACTTTTTTTTTGTCTTTTGAACAGGAGACAAAGACGAGCAATACACTATTCAAAATTGGAAATCTAAAGGAATTGACACTTTATTGTTTTAGAATTCAAGTAGAATTGATGACACCTTCAAATCTCAATCTGGGACTGCAAAGTGTCCCAGAGTGTTACAGAACTACAATCAGTGGTACAAATCAAATTCTGTTATTTTTTGTGTATGGTGTAGAACATTAGTCTAAGATCGTGTAACTGGTCACTTACCCTTATTTGTCAGGAGTGCTAAGAGAGCACCACTGACGGTAGTTCGTAATTGTCATTAATGGCAAAATAATAAGGAATTTTTCAGTCAGGAGTCGAGGGTCTGCATTGCACTCTTCTCCTTGTCCTTTTCCTTCAGAAATACCGCTATGGGTGTTGCTTTCTGGAAATACGCAAAGGAAGAAAATACAAATATTTGGTCTTTAGGGGAAGTTGTTGGTGAAGGAGATGGTGTTACTCTTGCAAATCCTCTCCCTCGGCTGCTGCCTCCTGCAGGACAGCAACGTCCCCCTCCTCTCTGACCTGCTTCCTTCTTTGACATTTCAAGCTCCGTATTTTTGTACGAGATAAGAGAGAGGGTGACAGGAGGAGAGGGCACGTACAAGATAACGGAGTTGTCCCTCTCGAATCTCTCCGTGTGATGACCAATGCGCAGGCATAACCGACCTTTAGCATGCTTCGAACGCACCGGAAGACGTGTAGACAAAACCTGCCTGTGCGGTTTCTGAAGCCCTGCAGGAGCTGACCTCCGGGGTAGTATTGACCAAGGACTTGATCGCAAGCCCCTCAGCTGTGGTCTCGGCATCTCTGATGCTCCCTTTGCTGCCCTGGCATTAATGACCCTTGGTGACAACTTGAGGATGGAAGGACAGATTGCGTTCCCTGCTTGCCCTCTGCTCGCCAGCAGTGGTTCCTCCAGCTCTGCCTTTGCCCTGCTAGCGTGTCAAGTAGAAGCTTGCCTTAGGCTGCGTGATTAAGGGGCAGAAGCTCGTGGGAGCTGGTGACTTCCACGTGGAATCACAAAACAAGCTGCTTGTGAACACAGGTTGTTTAGAGAGGGCGTCTAGAGTAGGGTTGTGATCGTAGCCTTGGAAATTATACTTTGGTTACCAAGTAGAGTAAATTCGGCTGGCTGTATATTGTTTTACATTTGATGATGTGTAAATGTGAACCTACAATATGCATATGGGGTGGTTTGTTGTTTGGTTTTTTTTCTTTTTTTCAGAGGCAACCAGAGCTGGATATATTATACTGATATTTGTGTTGGTGTTCCTTTTTGTAAAGCTGGTAATAGTTTTTTTGTTTCTTCTGTGGAAACACCACAAAACAATTAAAGATTGGGCTCAGCCACCTTTAGAAATCCCATCACACATCGAAGAGGTATGTGTAGACATTTTATACATCCCCCCCGGGCCCTGCTCCCTTCCCCCTGTAAAACACAGTGATGTCGTGGAGTGAACGAGAACAAAGCTAGTTGTTGCATAACAGAAATAGATCAAAATAATTATTGACAGTGTAAACTGTTACTTTTCTCATATATTGATCTCCCACTTTATGCCTTTTCTACTCAACTGAATTATTTTTTTTTCTCTGCACTGAGATACAAGCGCTGCTATAATCCTGTTAAGAAACCGGAGTAAGATTCTCTGTTCCTTGACTACCCCTTGTCCACCCCTTTCTTTGCTTATCAAAGTCATCAGGCCTGAAACAGTTGGTCACTTGAAGCAAAAAGCTTGTGTGTGCTGCAGAACATGTACTTGGGACCTAGGTCTCTGAGAAACCAAATATGGAAGAGCGAACACTGATGGTTTTAAGAGCAAGGACTGACTTGAAGACTAAGGACTACCTAGGGGAATGTTCTTGGGCTTTTTCTTTTTTTTCCCTGTAGTTTTAGCAATACTCAGATGAAAAAGTCATCCTGGGACTTTCTGTCCCCTCGTGGCTCACTCATTTCTGTACTAAATGATACTGGTTTAGTCCTGTTCATCTTCCTCTTTTAAGCAGTGTTCTTGTTCAGCATACATTTGGTATTTTTAAAAGCTTGTGTTTGTTTCCAGTTCTTTGGGGTGTATTTCTTTGGAAGTATGTGTGTCTGAGCATTCTGTTGTGCTATGGTAGTTCTGTGATTGTGGAGCTGCTTTTCCAGATTTTTACAGAATTATGGGTGAATGAGCCCAGATTTTCTGTGGAGTCCCAAGTACATCATTTTGTCTCTTCATTCTACCTCAGCTACTGTTTCATGGGGGCTCAGTGTAGACACCTGTGTCTCGTATCAACTGAAGTATATCTTACGTAGGGAAAAGTGTACTTCTACAGTGTGCTAAAACAGTGCAGCATTTCATGCAAAGGACTTGCAAGAATAGAGTCTATCATCATGTGTTCTGGAGTAATTGTATTAATCTGGAAAATATGCAGCAAAAGTAGATACCCTTGAACAATGGGGACCGAGGTTTTGGGCAAAACCGTGGTAAGAAATGAAGGCGAATCGATAAATAAGCAGGATTTTTAAAATGTGCATTTCTAAAAGAGATCAACCAGCCTGAGGTTTCTCCTCTTAAAACACTTCCCATAAGTGCAGAATACTGAGTATTTTAAGGCAGTTTCATATGTACTCTTTAGATTTTCAGAAAAATCACATGCTTCCTTCTTTTACAGAAGGATCTCAGCTTTCAGTGTCTGAGTTAAAGGGAGCAGTTCTACCACAGAAAGGCTTTCACATAGCAAAGCCAACCTGAGGTTCACTTGTGTCTAGAATTCGCTAAAGTGGATGTATTTGAGGTCCCCATGTGAAACATTTGTTTTTAATACACCTGAAAAAATAATCCTGTTGCTCATCAGCCTTGCTATGATTACAGAGAAAGTGGTGCCTTAACTGAAACTAAGGTTAATTTTGTGCCACAACAGATGTGACTTGAGCCGTGGTCCCATCTCAGCCAGATTATGGCACCTCCTACAGTACAGAACAAGCTTTTGAGCAAAGCCACAAGCTATGTCAGTCTTTTAACAATGTGAAGGTGTCTGTGTGCCAGACATTTATTCTAAGTTTTTATTACATCGGGGAAAAAGTGTTCAGTGGCAATTTTTTTTTTTTTGGGTTCAGTACATGAAGCAGTAGGTGGCTCCAATTCCCTGTGAAACACAAGATCAGCTTAGTGATAAGGAGAGTATATGGGTGTGGCAGGAGGAACAGGAAGCTTTTTCTCTGGCGTGTGTTTTTTTCTAATGCACTTCTCTTCGATTGTGCATAGACTGTAAAGCTGATGACTTAATTTTGGAGGAAAGGGGAGCAGAGGGGAAGTCAATGCAAGAGAAGAATGTCACTAGAGTTTTCTAGTAACACTAAAAGATGCAGATCTGATTTGCCTGGCACTGAACAAACCAGAATCTTTGCTCTCGTTCGCTCCATCAGCGCTTTAGGCAAGCTGTCAATTGCTGGATTCCTGCCCTTGGAGGATAGGTCCCCAGCAGTGTAATAAAGACATTTTCTTCTGTAGTTTGTCCTTAACTAGTAGGAATTTGCTTGAACTGACATGAAAATAGTATTAGCCAACATTTATTAAAAGAAAAAAAAAAAGGGAAATGCAGGCTGCTTTAACTCACTTAAATGGAGATTTGCATGATTGACTCCCCATGCCACCCCTCCAGAAATAAGGTATTTGTAACTTTCTCCTTGCTCAATGTAGTTTCAAGGAAGTCCAGACTAGAATATACATTCAGCAGCTCTCACTGTGAATTCTGGTCTGAAGCAGCTTGCCTATAGGTGGTGGTACCTGCTCTGTCTGTGATTTTCAGTGCATCTGTTCTGTGGATAGATCCCTAACCTGTTGTTTCTGGCTTTTTCCAGTATTTGAAGGACCCTAGCATGCCTGTTCTAGAGATGCTGGACAATTATGTAGAGGACGATCCCCAGGATTCTTTATCCATTTTATTTTGTGGAGACAGAAGCAGTTTGGATGGTCAAGCTCACTCACACAGCATCTCCGGTGACAGTGAAGTAACGTAAGCGGTGCCCTAGTGCCTGTACTGAGTCTTTGCAGAGGCTCCTGCCCATGAGTGGTGCCATGTGGCTGCTGGCAGGACAGATGACGAGCTCCGGACAAAATGCCGGCACTGACAAATCCTGAGCGAGATGTCGCTTCCTGAAAACAGCGTGGATCCGGAGCCTCTGTTTAAATGGCTGCTTCTGTGCTGCAACAGCGACCCTGTTCTGCCAGAGAGACTTAAAAGGTGGAACCTGGAAGGGAAACGAACACTAAATTGCCTAAAGACAGACGGATGGGTTTACCGACATCAGTGAGAAATAACGGCACTTTATGGTAGGATATAGTACAACCTGGAATCGTTCAGTCAGTCAGTAGTTGCACCGTTACCTTTATAGGGGCTTCTGTTATGTTGCCTGGTTTGTGAAGCCTGTGTTGGCACTCACTGTGTGTTGTATCCACCCCAGTATGCTTTTCTGAATCATTTCGAGTACATGCAGTTTTCTGTGGCAGCTTCTTCCCTCCAGCTAAAAAGAGCAGTCTAAAAAGAAATTTTACTTTCCTTGGTGTGAACCTGCGCAAAGCACTGCTCCAAGAAAGGCTTCCCACTCTCAGCCTCCCAACACATTCAGGAGAAGCATTAATCCTTCTGTTCCTGCAGCGAGATGGTCATTCTTTGGAGCAGAACGAACTTTACAATACAATAATTTTGCTCAGAATGCATACAACATACAGGGGTAATTACCAGACACTAAAATCTCTTGTTGACTAGCAGATTAGCTCTGTAACTGCAGCTGAGGGTTGGGTTTTGAGTCCCTTAAAGCAGCGGCACAAGGCTACAAGTTAAGTCTTGCATCACAATCCTGTGGGGTCTGGAAGGGGTCTAATAAAGCACAAAGAACAAATGAACTGCTTCTGTACTAAAAACATTGGTTTTATTTGTTTGATTACTTTTCCTGGGTTTGATAGAAGTTGTTTTTAAAAAAAAAAAAAAAAAAGCTTGTTTATTTGCAAATGCCCTGTTCCAGGTACTTAGGTCTGTTAATAAACCTGGGCCCTGGTGGAGCTGTGGGTTACCCGAGGTAATGCTGTTCCACACCTTCCAGGAATACACAAATCAAGCACAAATAATCAGTAACATTTCTTCCAAAAGCTTCCTGAGGTTGCTTCCTTGTAGAACTAGTATAAATCACTTGTGATTAGGCACCAAGCCAAGACACACAGTTATCTGAAGACTCAGTCATACTTCAAGTTGGGTAAGAATTTTCAAGTCAGCCCCAAGCTGCATAATGCCTGCTTTTGGGTTCATCTATGACCTTAAAACAAATGAAGAACCATGGGCTCGCAAAAGGAACAACCTAAATGCATAACAGGGGCTGTAAATAAGGCAGCAGTTAAAACAGCTCCCCTGACTCTTTAGCAATGCAGCATACAGCTTCCTGAACTAGACTCCTGGTTGTCACTAAGTGGTTTTGCAGTTACGCAAATAGGGCAGAGTTAAAAAACCTTCTGTTAAGAGTAACTAACTCAAGGGTTATCTTCACAAGTGCCAACTGCAGCAGGCCGAGGCATTACCTCCAATGAGACACCCCTATCCACGCTGGCCTGTGCTGGAAGTACCTGGGGCATAAAAGTGGACTGTGGGACATTCTGAATGAACCTGTGTGGTTCTTGTGCTGCACCTGTTTTTCAGCTTAGGCTACCAGAAAAAAACCCCACAAGCTCAAAGCTGTCTCTTTTCTCCTCTTAGCAGCCGTATAGAGCATGACCACTCCCAGTCGCTCCTAAGCAAGAAACTAGCAGGCCTGAACACAAAACCCTTGGCTTTATTAACTGCCATTAAGACCTGCTTAAAAGTCAGTACTACTTGAGCAAGTAAGTAAGTAGAGCACCGCTGTACAATTACCTTGTGAAGCTTCCTGTTTTGAGAACATATGATAAAGTTTATTGCAGTTTTCTGACATTACAGCCAAACAGACAACTTATGTACAAAGCCGTGATCGACACCAGTGAATGTATTAACGACTCACTGCAGGATGGTGAAATCGGGAGGAAGTTAGTCTAGCCAGTAGCACAATTTCAGCTGCAGTATTTGCTTCATATGCTGTCCACTGGAGCGATTCCCACAAGGGAGCAGTTAGATGACTAACAGTACACAGTAACCAGAGGTGACATTCTGCAGTTTAATACCATTTGGTCAGCAATCTTGATACATGGAAAGTTATAAAAGCTTTTAGAGACGAGATTCAAATGCTTTAAAAACCACATAGAACTCATAAGCTAAGGAAGACACCAACAACAAGATGAATACACAAGATCAGTCCAAAGCTATAAAATGTCGCTGTCCTCCCTTTCTGTATACTCCAGCTAGAAGAAACCAGGTTTCAATAATGGAAGCGTTCCCATAAAGTGCCCATGAAATTCAGGAGATAAATACATTTTGACTGGGGCAAATGGCAGTCCTAAAACTGGCAATTATTTCAAGGTAAGACTGGGAGCAATAAATACATCTACTATATCCCCACTTGAAATGCTCGCCTTTTAAATAGAAAAGGCAATAGGCAGCAGGATAACTGTTCATTTATCAGCAAAAAGCTTCCCCTGAGGAAAATTACACTAGCAGAATGTTAAAGATGTTAGTCTGACTCTCATTTATTCTTTATATTCCTTAAGTATGACTGGCATCAGTTTGGGTTGGTTTTTTTTTTTTAATTCTAATATCAGTACATACATTAGATACTAATTGGTATCTATTACACTGAACAGTATGAAATGAATTCTAAGGACTGCGGTGCCACCAAGTGTCATTTGTGCTATAGCAATCAGAAGTCAAGAACAGTTTGATTTGCCATGCAGAACCTGCTTAATATAGGGCCTTGTTTAAAAATTCATAACCTTTTACAAAAAAATAGCTACTTTATATTTTTCTGAACAGTTATATAAAAATTCTTAAAATCAGCTCTTATCTCAGCGCACAGAAGAATTTACCCTCACTAAACCCAGGCTTAGCTGGGTCGCTTCCAGGCGCTGACTCCTGCTTCAGGTTGCCCAGGCAGCCCTTGCGAAAACTGGCTCTAGCTCACCTACGTGTAAAAGCGCCAGCCCCTTTTACAGGGCAGGGGCTTTATGCTGCTCGTTCGCTAAAACAGTACCACTCAAGGCTCTGACACATGAAGGTTTGGAAGATCCAGTCTTAGGAGTTGATGGAAACCCATACGTTTGAGGAAATAAACCTGAAGATTTCAGAAAGCAAGCCTGACATTCCCTTTTTAAGATATATACAGTCGTATGTACATATTCACAAATCTGTCCTGTGAAAAGAGGGAGCGTATTACAGAAACTCGTTTGTCTCAGGTCAGACAATTCAGAAAGGAAAACAAGAACAGATAAATGTAAATATATATACATACATAGTACAACATAGCAACTATGGAACAGACAATGCTAGATGTGATCTCTCATCCCCACAACTCTTCTGTTCTTCCAAACTTGTAGATCAGAGTACTAAAAGGGGGGGAAAACAAACAAACAAACAAAAAAATCAGACCATACATAAGGCAGAAAAGGTAATTTTAACAGTATCCTTATAATCTTATACTATCTACACTGCAAATAAACATCCCTCCAGTAAACTTAACTTTTATTCAGGTCAGTGTATGGTTTTTGAACTGTTTCACTTACTACGCACTGCTAAAACTATGAGATCCAGCTGAAGCAACTGCTCAAATAAAAAAAGTAGCCAGTCTCACAGTAAAAGCAGCTGCCCTTCTGAAGGAAAAAATTCTGGTATTTAAGAGATTCTAGGAGCGATCCACAGAATTACAGAGCAGCAAGTCTCATCCTGGTATCTGGCAATCAGCATCACACTAGGACAGAATCTAAGCAATTAAACTTTTAGGAGCAAATCAGAATATCGATCCTGTGGTGGGTAAGTGAGATCCAAATTACATTTTGATTTCCTAAACTTCTTTTATAAGGTTGGGTGCAATTACACATTGTCATGAATCGAAAAAAAATGTTGAGGGAACAAAACAAGCATGATTTCCTTATTGCTCCTCATATTTTAAGTTATTTTTTTCTTATAGCCAGCAGACAGGTGGTAAGGAAGGGCACAGTCACACTAAATCATAAGAGAATGAAGAGGGAGGAAATGAGAAATCCTGACACTGAGAACAACAATCAGACGATCAGTAAAACAAGCTGGACGCCTGGGCAGTTACCGAGAGAACTACTAATAGGGCTTGCTAAGGAAGTGAAAATCCTGGTGGAGTAACAACCAGGGCTGAAGCCCAGGTCCTGAAGGAGACACATGGTTCAGGGAATACAGAAGGTTATGGAACGTCACTGATAGAAGAGAATCTCATTGAATCAAAACAGAAGTTTTGGATAAGGACACTGAGAAGGGCAGCGCTGATCGGCCCAGGTCCGGTCTAAGGAAAGGAGTCTGTGGCAATGGATGGACTCATCAGATGTTACTGCCTGAAGTGCATGGTGGGATAAAAAACAAAGACTTTTTGTAAAAAACAAAACAAAACAAAAAAAAACCCCAAAAAACCCAAACACCAAATGTTGTAATTTGTCTTATAGTTCATACCTAGGAAACAAATTTTAGATGACAAAATAAAACAAATAAACCTAAAATATATGTACATACAAGCACAACAGAAACTAAGGAAGGACACTTTCAGACACAAAAAGCAGCTTCAGAGGGAAGTTCACCAAACTACTGAAGTAAGAGTAAAGATTTCAGGCACGGTGAAACTATTTTCAAAAGTCTGCCTCCATCAGTATCCCATTTCAATCACGTGCAAGACTACAGAAGAGACTTAGGAACTGCTATTTCCTGCCAGAACACGACTGATTTCCCAAACAGGGAAGCGCAGCCAAGCCAGTTGATCTAGCTCCTGCAAAGCATTCGATATGGTACTGGAAGGAAAATTGTTAGCACAGTAAGTTACGTGGGTAAGAACTTGCAAGAGAGGAGGTTAGGTGAACTTTTTCAGTGACTGATCTCAGAACTTACACTATTTAATGCTTTCACTGGCTTTTATCAATTAATAAAATTAATGGATTGCAGAGTGCCTTATACGTATAAAAAGAGTTATTACAGATACTGATAGTTTCAAAGTGTCACATGATATACTTAATGATATTAAGTGAAATAAAAGAAATTTATTTAAGTGTAATATTACAAAATGTACCATCATGCTCTTAGAAAAAAATTATCAATATTAATAACTGAAAGCACATCCAGTCGAAACAAATCTGGGTGTATCAATTATCAGATAATCGAGCCGTTGGTATGAAAAAGTCAGGAAAAGGGCAGTAGGATCTCCCACCTACTGCTGTTAGGATATATGCCAAGGTATTTGTAGCACAGAGATGGAAGTGTCACTGCCATTATCCAAAGCCACTGGCAGTATCTCACCCACAATACTGCCTGTATCCTTGGTCATCCACATTCTAGAGCTGTAAATTCAGTGAGACCAGAAAGAGCTGGACTAACAGGAGCACGAGGGGAATAAAGAGCCTCTCATGGACTGAGAAGGGGCAAATAAAACATTGTTTCTAAGCACTGGAGCAAAGGGAGTACAGAAAAGTAGCAGAGTAAAAAAAATAAATCGTTTTTAAGAAATAGTTTGATCAGATTATGCATTGAATCATGTCCCACCAGTTCTCTGTACAATGCCAATTTATTCAGTGACCCAAGAGGTCCCTGTGGCTTGCACGCCACCCTCCTCAAGTACAGGTCAGAGGCAGATAACAAATAGAAATATGGAGGGTCCTGCATTGAGAGCAGCAAATTCCACGTTGGGGAAGGTCCAAGCCTGGAGTCAGCCTCCAGCTTCCGGAACTTATTTCCCAGGAGTATCCATGTGCATGGAAGCGGGTAAGTCAGGTACCCCTTTGGAAGGAGGGAAATTTGCCCAGATAACTTACCTGAAAAATATCAACGCATTTTGGAAAAACACTGCCAATCCAGGGTAAACATTAGTGTCTGCAAAGTAAGTAACAAAGGAAATACTAAGTTCTTTTGTATTGAAAGGTGCATTTAAAACACTATTCATAGCAGCGTTCTCTGACTGCAAAACTAGATGGTACAACCCAGGTGGCCAAGAAGGCCAACAGCATCCTGGCCTGTATCAGAAACAGTGTGGCCAGCAGGGGTAGGGAAGGGATCGTGCCCCCGTGCTCGGCACTGGGGAGGCCGCACCTCAAACACTGTGTGCGGTTTTGGGCCCCTCACTGCAAGAAGGACACTGAGGTGCTGGAGCGTGTCCAGAGAAGGGCAACGAAGCTGGTGAGGGGTCTGGAGATCAGGTCTGGTGAGGAGCGGCTGAGGGAACTGGGGCTGTTCAGCCTGGAGAAGAGGAGGCTGAGGGGAGACCTTATCGCTCTCTACAGCTGCCTGAGAGGAGGTTGTAGTGAGGTGGGGGTTGGTCTCTTCTCACAGGTACTTAATGACAGAACAAGAGGGAACGGACTCAAGCTGCACTAGAGTAGGTTTAGGCTAGACACTAGGAAAAGTTTTTTCACTGAAAGGGTTGTCAGGCATTGGAAGAGGCTGGGCAGGGGGGGGGGGTCACCATCCCTGGAGGTGTTTAAAGGTTGTTTAGATGTGGTGCTTGGCAATATGGTTTAGGGGTGTACTTGGTAGAGTGGGGTTGGTGGTTGGACTCGATGATCTCAAAGGTCTTTTCCAACCTGAATGATTCTATGATTCTGACAAGAACAGACCACACACTTCCATTCTGGATTTTCTGCTTTTTGGCTGCCAGCAAAAGTATTTTTCTATACATGAAAATAAACAAACTTACTCTGTGTAACATATGCTCCAAAAAGAATCCACATTGAAGCAATAAGTGAACCAAACATCAGCATAAAGCCAATGAAGAGCCAGACACGAGCACCTGCAGGAAATATTAAAACCTCTGAGAGCCACGTAGATTACTATCCCTAGTGACAGATGATCCAAGCTACTCCTCTATTATGAGCCAATACGGTATCTTGCTGAAGGCACAAAGGGAAAGGGGTTAAACCCTGTATCAAGGACAAGATAAGCCAAAATTTGCCTTCTCTAGTAAAACACACAGTAGCTGGATTCCCCTTATTTTAGTGAGCAGACACAACTACCAGAAATTTCCCCTCACCTGTAGGGAATGCCTATAACACCATTTAACATAGCTGGGAGTGGACTAATGACGAGGTACTTTGCCAAAGCTATAGTGTTTCTGAGGTAAAGATGGCATTCCAGTGTGGTACATAAAACAAACTCTTCCTGTGTTTACTTCAGAAAGATATTTTCAAATGGGCAACATCTACCATAGCTAGACATTACCTGCTGAAAAAGGAAGATGACACCACTGAAAATAACCAACCTGCTCACTCATGGGAAAGGAAAAACATGTCGATGCAAAGATTCTCTCAAGCTGATTTATGAATAACACACCAAAAAAAGCACCATATACTAGTTCAAATATCAGTAAATCCTACCAGATTTCCAGTGAGGCATTCTACAAATCACATGAAAACTGGGATCCGCGTGGGAAACAGTGAAGAAATTGCGAATGAAAGCAGAGAGAGGACAGGAGGTCCAGACACCACACAGTAGGTCACATACAGAGGAAACGGCATGTCTGTGATACATTCTTAAGGAATGTTTATTTCTCCCAGCAGCTACACAGGATTTGCAGAGGAAAGTTCAAGTATTCAAGATATACACAAGTCCAATTTTTCTAAGTTCATCTTTTTAACAGAAACAGCACTTCTCTCCAAGTGTTAATTTTGTAAAGAAATTAACTACACAGAAGTTCTCTCCTGCCTCCTTAACTTCTGATTATTATTAGTTTAACCACCACTGAGGAAAAAAAGCAACACCTAAATAATCAGTCTTTCAACTCATCATGATTTTTAAAGTTAATTTACCTGTTCTTCCTAAACATCCATCACTGTAGCTGTCTCCTCTCACCTGTGCATTTGATACAGCATTTATCCTAGGAACAAAAAAGTGTATACCCTTCAGATTATTAGAAAAATCAATCTAAAGTTGTAAGTAAAAAGCTTTTTTTTTTTTTTTTAAGATATGACAAATTCTGGGAAAATTACTTGGCATTCTGTATGGTCACATATTATTACATGTCCCTTAATGGAAGGACTCCAACCAGACCTCAGGTAAACCCCATTATTTGTTCACAAGTTTTACTTAAATTTTTGCATTAACAGACCTGTAAGATGAAAGAATTGCCCTTTTAGTGACTGCAATATTGCTGCTCGCTTTCTGGCTGTGTAAATTCTTAAAATATCTAAAGCTACTTCACAGGAATAGTAACAGCCAGTAACACAGTGCTCTCAAGATTATGATACACACAATGAATACCATAAGTACTGAAGCAAGACACCCCCGTGAGGAAGGACAATACATTTTCTTAAAATGAGTTACACTGCTGAGGAAAACAACCCAGAAACTTTCAGAAACCAAGTGTCAAGAAGGTTGTGCATATCCACACGCATCCCTTGTTCTTGGCAATATCATTCGATTCAGTAAAAGCTATTACTTCTTCAAGCTTGCCATGTTTACATCTTTATAACAATAGCTATACTACTACTACTAACAATAGCTATAATACTACTACCTCTCCCATTTCAGGAAGCTTTGGGCCAGAGACAGCTGTAAAAATAATTCTGAAGCAGGGGAAAACACAGTCAAATGGTTTATATTGAGGTAAGCAACTGGGCAGCATTACATGAATTTGATCTGGGAATCTGAACACTTGTTACAGAAAGCTGGCTCCATAAAGGAAGGTCTGCTTTCTCGCATCCAGGCGAAGCACACAGGAAAAGCAATTTACCCTAAACAGATTGGGGGGGGTAGGGGTGTGGGTGTGTGTGGGGGGGTGTATATCAAGAGAATAATGAACAAACAGACTGATCAGAAACAAAGGCCACAGGCAGAGGGGAAAAAAAAAGCCTTTACATTGCCATGCAAAAAGGTACGACAAGATTACTCGTAAGTAATTTATAACCAAGTTATTCAAAGTTTTGTCATACACCATATTGCCTAGTAAAAACTGTGTTTAACAGCTCATGTTTATTTTATAAGAACACCTTTACATATACTTACATGAAAAAAGCTAGTGTTGAAAACACCCCACAGGTATGGAACGCATGGTTCATTTGTTCTGGCTTAGGGTAAACTACTGCAGCGTCTATCATTATCCACCAACCTGTGAAAAACTAGAAATAAAACAGACCGGTATTGGGAGGCTGGAAGGGCACGGAGACAGGCAGACAAAACGTGGCAAATGTTTGTGCATACCATTGGCTTCACCGTCTTTTAACAAGTACAGAAAATTATCAGCTTTGAGTTGGACTCTAAATCTGATGCTCCAAGTTCCGCATAAACCTTTATGTTGATGTTTTCAGAGAAGCATCTGGGAATCACATTTTCTATTCAAATTAAGTATCAGTGTATGGTTAAATTCCCTGTACAGCTTTAAGAACAACAATCCAGATTTTAAGGACATAGGAGACACAAACCAGGTATAACACAACTGTTCTAATGTATCTACACTAAAAATCCATTAGGAATCTCAATCTTTTGTCAAGAAGAGATAGCAGGAACAGGACGTCATTACCACACAAAATGCAAAGTTATGCATCTCAAAACCAGCTGTCTAACAATTCCACTTTAAAAAAAAATTGAAGAAATATACTAGACTGAGGTGCAGTTAAGAGTGAAACTTCATAATTTGAAACTAAAATGTAACTGTTTGTCGTAATTCCAAATTCGTCAGCACAGTTACAGTTCACATCCCCTCAAAACTCACCAATACACCTGCGACTATGGAAGCGATGGCATTCCTTCTTTCACTCCAATCAATGCACTCACATTCTGGCCACCGGAAGTTGTCTAGGAATCCCGCCATTTCCTCAAAGATTAGATTGTCCTTCTTATTTTGTACTTATACATGAATTTTTCCATTAACAATCGTGTCCAATATACCTGAAACACAGCCAAAGATGCATTTAATACAAAGTAGCAAAATCTTGAGATGTTTGACAACTCTCATGAGCAATTTTTTACAATGTGTGTGTTGTTTTGTTTTGTTTTTTTCCAGAAGTATTCCGTATATTCTATGGATTCTATATTGAGCTATATTTAGAAAAAAAACAAACCTACCTTACAGACAGAATTACAAATAAAATCATCACACGACCCAATAACTTATGCATTACATATAAATTATCATATCTAAAACATAAAAGATATTAAATAGGACGTACAATTTGTTCAAATGTATGAAACACAAAAATAAAAGCAAGCAAAAAAGCAAATATTTCAAACTAAGTTTCATCTTCAAACTCTCTCTGGCATTAGCAGTGAAAAAAAGTAAGGTACATACAACAAGGCTCCATGCGCAGACCAGAACTTGGTCTTTGAGTCATGCCAAGGAATCTTGCCTAAGATACCCATATTTCCAGTCTCCAAATAAGACAGACAACACAGGGGAAAAGGAGTCAACTCCGTGAATCAATTAATACTGAGGGTAAAGAGTGTCCTGCTCCACAGAGAGGGGATCACACAGAATTTCAAATACAGGAAGAGGAAAGTAAAGTTAATCAGTGTTACAAACCGACTACAAAACCAACACAGTTCTCAAACACTGTGGTGAGACAGTAGCTATAAAAGATTCTGCACTACATATCTGTTCTGACACTGTAAGACAATTAGTGTCTGTCATTTGAACATCAAAAGTTTGAATATTTGCAGTTTTTCTGTTTAGCAGTGACTCACAGTCACTCCTAATACCGTTCTATTTTGTTTCAGTATTGTCAACTTCTGTTTTCTCCCAACCTCCCATAAACAATTTCCAGATACTTGTTAAAGGCCAACAATAGACAAACAAAAATGACCAGGGGGCTGGAGCACCTCCCCTGTGAGGACAGGCTGAGAGAGTTGGGGTGGTTCAGCCTGGAGAAGAGAAGGCTCCAGGGAGACCTTATAGCGGCCTTCCAGTGCTTAAAGGGGGCCTGCAGGAAAGGTGGGGAGGGACTCTTGATCAGGGAGGGTGGTGATAGTATAACGGTTTGAAACTGAAAGAGGGGAGATTTGGATTAGGTATTAGAAAGAAATTCTTTCCTGCAAGGGCGGTGAGGCCCTGGAAGAGGTTGCCCAGAGAAGCTGTGGCTGCCCCCTCCCTGGCAGTGTTCCAGGCCAGGCTGGATGGGGCTTGGAGCAACCTGGTCTGGTGGGAGGTGTCCCTGCCCAGGGCAGGGGGGTTGGCACGAGATGGTCTTTAAGGTCCCTTCCAATCCAAATCATTCTTAAAAAAAAAAAAAAAAAGTAGTCTTTTATGATTATGCTACACAAAAGACAGATGCAGAACATTTTTCTGGTTAATAATGGTAATTAGAAGTTTACAGTAAGAAGCGAAATAAAAATAAACAAACGAACAGAGTTTAGCTACACTACTGAGGCTCCCTCCTATGAATAAGATAAAAGAGTTTGTCCTCCTGAGCTTAGTTCCAGAAATCCATCCATAGTTACAATGCTACCCTAAAGCATTAAAATACATCACTCAATTCCAAAACTTTGCGGGTTTTACTTTTGTACAGTATCTAGGCTCAACCATACAGTTATTTCCTAGATTACACTTTTACCTAGCAATTTTCAGATCCTTATCCTCTCTACAACAAAATTGCCGCACTGCACTGTTACAGTTTTACAACTGGTCCTGCAGCCTTTCCTTCTTTTCCACTCTTAAAACGGCTCCATCTGTACTTTATTTGTTCCTCTTCAAGCCCTCTTCCTCATCCTGTGGTAATCCCCCCCTTCTCCTCGCCCATCCACGCCAGAACACAGCTCATGGTTCCCACTGCTATCACCACTACTGACTACACGGTTCTTACCCTGCGGCGCGGCTGGCTGCAGGCAGGAGTAAATGGACAAACACGGCGCGCTATTTCTTCTCCCCACTGAACACAACGGTGGTTATGTCAACTCTACCAAAGTGACCACCTTGCCTTTAAATGCACTTTCAGTCATTTTCAGAGTGACTGAAGCCGTACTTCTTCAAAGCTGCATTTTCCTTTGGAATTATTTCCCATAATGGACCATTTAAAAGGTATTAAGATACCTAAATAAAATTGCCTCCTTCAAACATAACGCAAAGTTCTACGCAAATCAGAAAGCAGGTCAAGAAAAGCCATCAGAAAAAAATTATTTCAGATATGTCAACAACAGCAGAAACTATTTTTCACTCCCTATTTGGATGCTACCCAGAGGTACCTTGAAGGTCTGGAGAAACTGGCTGACAGGAACCTCATGGAGTTCAGCAAGGGGAAGTGCCCAGCCTTGCACTTAGGAACAGCCCCACACACCAGTATGTGCTGGGGACCACTCAGCTGGAAAGCAGCTTGGCAGAAAAGGCCCTGGGGGTCCTGGTGGACATCAAGTTGAACATGAGCCAGCGATGTGCTCGTGTAGCAAAGACGGGCTGCACTAGGAGGAGTGTTGCCAACAGGCTGAGGGAGGTGATCCTTCCTCTCTACTCAGCGCTGGTGAGGCCACCCCTGGAGCGCTGTGTCC